TTTTTTTTTTTTTTTTTTTGGCTGTTATTTTAAAATGGTTACCTGCCCAGAGTCACTTGTTAGAGATGGACGACATATACATTAAATAAATAAAAGTTTTAGCTATTAGTTTTAGAATAAGCTGATGGCCTATTCAAAAAGCAAGGTTTATACTACTGATCTAAAACACAGGAATGGGACCAAATGGACCTCTGGAAATGATAGTCTAGAAAGCATGAAAGACAACAGAGAAGGCATGTTATCTTTGAGATACCACAAGATGACATTGTTTAAATGAAGGGATCCAGAGATACCCATACTGTCAGATCTTATAAGACAAGCAGAGACAAGTAGAGAAATATTGTCTTATAAGTAACAGTCCTTGAGCCATGTAGAGCTTGATAGATGACAACCAGCACAATGAATTGCACCCAGAAACCCACTTGTATCCAGTGGAGCTCACAGAGCAGAGGTGTGATATGGGCTTACTGAGGTACATCCACAATTGATTATGAGCCACATTCTGGATCTGCTAAAGCTTCAGAAGGGTTTTTAAGAGTGGCTCCACATAGAGCATGTTACAGTAATCTAAGAAAGAGATGACTAAGGCATGAGTGACCATGAGCAGAGCCTGCTGGTCCAGGAAAAGGCTCAGTGGTACACAGGACAAGACCATCCTGGCCATCGCTACCACTGAATGGGATACTATCTAATGGGATAGTGGCAGTCTGAAATTATTTGCAAGATTTATCTATAGCTTTTCACCATTTGGGTTAAAAAGGTCAACAATAAAATAAAATGAAACAAAACAGTAAAAATCAAATCCCAATCCATTAATATACTGAAGGAAGATATTGAGATGTTTGTTGGAATAAGCAGAGCAAAACTCATAATATGGTTTGGAAGTGGCAACTTGGAAGTCCCTGCTTTTGTGGAGTGAGTTTAAACTAGAAACAGGGCTTTCCCAACTTATTTCAGACTAGTAGGGGGCTCATATGAAAGTATATAATTTGCATTTGAGATGTAACAGATTTTTTGTCTTTCTAGCTGAAACTTTTGCAAATTCATCATGATACTTCAACAGTTCTTCAGATTTTCTTCCATCTTCCGTTCAGCGCTCTCTGTCCAGTTGCATAGAAATATTGGCTTTTCTGCCATTGCATTTAATAAAGCTAAGGAACTTGATCCCATACAGAAGCTCTTCTTGGACAAGATTAGAGAATATAGGACAAAGAGCCAGTAAGTGAATGATCAATTCATTTATATGAACAACTACTTTTGCTACTCACAATTGCTGCAAGTTATTTTATAGTATTACTTGGATGTCAGTTGTATTGGGTTTAATGTGGAATAGTAATATAAACATTTCTTTTTATTTGTTATCACTCTTATTTGGTAAAACCCATGGACTGAAAGATCCTGGAATTATGGATCTAATTTTATATAATAATTTATATAAGAGTTCTATACAGGTAGTCCCCAGTTTAAGAATGGGTTCTATTCCCAAGGTCTATCCTAGAGTCAAATTTGTATGTAAGCAGGAATAGTATTATTGTATAATACTGTATAAGTAGTATTGTGTAATGAACTCAAACCATTGTGTATTTAACTCAAATCACTGTGTATTTAATTCGGATTTTGATACAATAGACT